AAGACGCAAAAGGATCCTTTGCCAAATGTGACGCAGGGTAACCGACTACATGTTCAATTGCTGATTAAAGTCACCGGTTGCAACAATGAGGCGTTCTAAAGCGGCCATGCTAGCCTGAAGCCCCAGTCCACATGCTGGCTGTCAAGATGGAAAATGGATAGGGGGGAAAAAAAAAAACAAACCCTGCCCCTCCTCACTCCTTCTTTGCGTGACGTGTGCACTTATGGCCAACAACGAGGCGCTCCAAAGTGTCTTACGCCATCTTAATGACTTGTGTCCATAATGACTCGTGCGTCTGCTTTTGCAGGGACGCCCAGTGCGGAAAAATCCAATGCCAAGGGGGTGCCAATCGGCCCGTCATCGGTACCAATGCCGTCTCCATAGAAACCAACATCCCCTTACAAGAGGGCGGCAGGATCCTGTGCCGCGGCACGCACGTCTACTTGGGCGACGACATGCCCGACCCGGGCCTGGTGTTGACGGGGACCAAGTGCGGCGGTGGAATGGTGAGCCTTGCCCGCCAAAGCCACCGAGACCCTCATGATCCATTTTGTTGTTGTTCTCAAGGACTCACACGTGTGTTTCACCTAGATGTGCCTGAACCGCCGGTGCCAGAACGTCAGCGTTTTCGGTGTGCACGAGTGCGCCGCCAAGTGCAACGGGCGAGGGGTGAGTGCACCATGACGTCATTCGCTCGTCCTTGTCACCATTTCAGTTCAGGTCAATGTGAGTCAGTCGCTTTTGTGCCACGCATCCGGAAGTACCCTGGCGTCTAGTGTTTACAAACTGAACAGCCATGATGCCTTGACTTGAGTGCGCACCTCCGCTTTTTCTCCTCGGGAGTCATTAAAGAGCCCCACAATCAATCATCCGGGACGCCAAAAGCAGCCCACTCAATTAAGCGTAATGGTTTCACTTATGATTAGCGCCCAATGCCATTCATCATAGTCTCGGGCGATCGTCCTTGTTACCCCCACTCCCACCATCACCACACACACACACACACACACACACACACACACAAACTGGTGCCAGCGCCATTCGGTAAACCTTTAGTCTTTTTCTCCTCTAAAAGTTATAAAGAGGATTAAGTGACAGTGACGCGTCCGATTTTCTAGGCGTGGCTTTGTTTTGGCCTGTTTCGTCGAGGGTGCGTGTGGGTGAGAGGGGGTGCGAGCTCTCTTTGGGGATGTCGAAGGTGAATAAAAGTGCCTATAAACAAGAAAGAAGAGGTTTTTTTTAGGGGGGTGCATGCAGATGAGAGGTGGTGCTCCATCACTGCTGCGGTGAATATTAAAGGCCTTTACTTTTTTTTTTTTTGGTATAGAGGAGGTGTGCTTTCTGTTTGGGGATGTGAAAGGGGGAGTGCATCATTAAAAGTGAGGGTTTAGATGAGAAGGGGTGCACCGTTGATGTTGGGGTTATTAAAGGGGTGCATCATTAAACATCATGACAATCAATGGGTATTTTGTTTTTCCGGGATGTGTGCAGAGTAGAGGGAGTGCCGTTTCTGTGGATGGGGGCACGTGTCTTTCGGGAATAAGCCTCTTGCCTTTTTTTTTTTCTTTTGGCAGGTGTGCAACAACAAGAAGAACTGTCACTGCGAGGCGCACCGTGCACCACCTTTCTGCGACACGTCCGGTTTCGGGGGCAGCGTGGACAGCGGTCCCGTCCGACTGGCAGGTAAACTCACCAAAGGTTGCGTTTATCTTGCTGCGCTCTCTTTAAGCCCATTTCATCCCCGCCCCGAGGGCAGATGGCATCCGTGTGACAGTGGGTGTCCTGGCGGTGCTCCTCACACTGGTGGCCGCCGCTGTGGTGGTGTGCATCAAACGGAAAAGTCTGCGGGGGGTGCTCTCCGGCGCCAAGAAGGCCCCGACTGACAAGCTTAGGTTTTGTTTTGTTTTTTTTGTTTTTTAATACAAATTCAGTTGGTTTTTATCTTGTAGTTGACGGCTGTTTGTCCTCCCTTGTTTTCGACAGGTCTGTAAGCGCCTCAACGGGCGTGCCATCCACTCCCAAGCGGCCTCAGCCAACGAGCGTGCCGTCCCCGTCTCGACCGGCACCACCTCCGCCCCACAGCGCCACCATCTTCAAGGTACCGCGAATCCCCATTTTAGCGTCAGCGGTTCCAGACTCACTCGGCCATCAATGAAAATCTGCGATACAGCGACACACTTGAAACACATCCAAAGGTTTTAAAACACCCTTCAATGCGTTCAAACTGCCATGGTGTTGCGGGACTTGGCTCACCCGATCAGCACAAGAGGGCGGACCCCCCATCATTGCCTCTTCCAGCTGCTGCACATTAGTCGGGTTTGAATCATGTGGTTCTCGTCGTGAAGGTTTTCCAGAGGATGTTTGATGTGGTGTGCGGTGCAGGTGAGGTCATCCTGCTCTTCCTCCAGCGGTGGGGGGAGAGGGGACGGCCTGCACATGAGCTCATATGTACACTTCCAACATCTGGTCTAAACACCAAGCGCTCATGTTTTGGCTTGTTTCTCCCAATCCGGGGGGTCTGTTTCTCTGTGGGCCACCTCCAAATGGGACCGCATGAGGATGACCGGGAAAAAAAAGTTTCATCTTCCCACAGCCTGGTCCTGACGAAACACAAAGCGCGGATATTTTGGCCAGGTTCCAGGGTGGTTCTGCTTAGACGGGCGGGGTCTGCTTAGCTGTGGCCCACTTACAAATGACACCACATGGGGAGAATGTGTTTTCTACATGCCAGACATGATCAGGAAGGACGTCAACCAAGTAGTCTTATTTTTTGCTTGGTTCTCAGAAAGTTCTGCCTAGATGGGGGGGGGGGGGGGTCTCCCAAAATGAGACTAAATGTTTGCTTTGGGATGGGTTACTGACCGACCTGGATGTTAGCAGTTCTCCATCTTCTCCACAGCCCTCTCATCGGGGGTCACAGACGCAGCTCCCACCGCCGCCGCCATACCCGTCGCACAGCCTGCGCCGCTTGCCTCAGTGCCAGCCTCTCTCGCTTAGCGTGTCACTGGCCAAGGCGGCGGCGCCTCCTCCTCCTCTTCATCTTCATCCTCACGTCCATGTGGCGGTGGCGAGAAGGACGGCTGTGGCGTTCAACGGCTGCAGAATGGTGAGCATCCAGAAATAAGAAAGGAATGTTTTATGAAGTCAATTATAAATACCAAATAGCAGCATTTCAGGTTATATTTCTGATGTTCATTCATTAAAGGACAAATTCATCCATAAATTAAATCTTAATTATAAATAAATAATACATTTCATTGTATTAACTGATGCAAATACAATATTTTTTCAAATAAAAAACTGAAAATAAATTGATTAAATTTTTTTTTTGAATGAATAACTACTGGAGTGTATTACATGACTAATAAACCCCCCCCCCCCCCCCTTTTTTTTTCCCTTTTTCTTTCCCAAAAAATCCTGTCGACTTGTTAACTATGATCGCCCTCTTGTGGAGATTTCCTGCTATTGTCCTCTCATGTCAGGAAACGGAGCGGCCTGGCCCCCCTCAGAAGCCCCTGCCCGCAGACCCCCGGACCTCTCACGCCATACTTGGACCAGGATCAGGATCTGGACCTGCACCCAGACCCGAACCTGGACCCAGACCCGTACGCCCTCAGCCGACAAAGTGAGTCTCCCACCATCTTGTGGCATCTAAAGGAAATGACACATTTTATTAAATTGCATTTTGTTTATTTCCGTCAGAAGCGTGGCCAAGCAGCCCGCCACGTTGCCCAAGCCCCGCGTGATGGCCAACGTCAAGTATGGCAGATGATGACGTTGCAGCAGCGGTGGAATTGTTTGCACTTGGAACCGCCTTCAAAATGGCGGCCCTGACATGCCTTCATGGTGCTAAGAGTTCAGGTACATGCAAGTGAACTATTTATCTGATCCCTATTTATTTGTTGTCGCCACATAGTGCACTGTGCCTGGCACTTTTATTGTTTTACATCGGGAGCCAAGAATTACAGCCATGCTGTCTTGTTTGTCGTCACCTCATTTATATGTTAGGAAAGCAAGAAAATTGTTTGATTCGCCACTCTGGGAGCAACACACTTGCCTTGGCTTAGGGATGGGGTTTTTTTAAAGGTTAGAACAGATGACAGATTAATTTCAATTAATTTCAATGGGCACATTGGATTTGACAAATGAATAAATGGAGTCAAGAGCTTGGCAAACTCGTATGTCAGGGAAAGTTACGAGTTCCACCTTGTACTTTAACAGTTGCATTTTTTTGAGTCACTTTTGCTTTAAAACGTGACTTTTTTGTACGTGTCAGAATTGTCAACTTTTTGGTTATAACCCACTTCCCCCATATATCCTTACAGCAGCCTGGGTAAAAGTACCATTTGTGAATTCTACCAACTTTAATTGTTCTTTTTTTTTTTTTTTTTTTTTTTATGTTACTGGCTGTCAAATTTTGTGCAATGCTAAACTAAACTTGAAGCCAGTGGATGACTGCAAATGACTGCTCTGCTTTGAACTGCCACACCTTGTAGAATACTCCTGTCTTGTTCATATCTCATGCAAACATACTGCATAATTTTGTCATTTCTTCTTGTCGTGTTGTTTTGTTAGTTAAATCACACGTGAAAAACAGAAAACGTCTAAAATGGGACTGAACTTTTGTTACTTTTGATAACATTTAGGTTGGGACCATGCACTAGTTTTACTGCAAACAAAAAACATGTTTGTGTGCTTGGAAGCACCCTGTGTGTGTGTGTGCTTGTGTGTGTGCGTGTGTGTGTGTGTGTGTTACAGGTGAACACATGTTTTTCTATGCCAAATGTTTGATACAGTACATCCTATGTGCAGTAAACACTGTCCAAAGGGTCCTTCTCTCCACGTGTCTATTCATTTTTGGTGCACTATTATGTTAAAGTCTCATTTAAGGAAATGCTGCAGCAACCATTTCAAAATACATTAATTTATTCCAGCCTTTATATATATATATATATATATATATATATACTCTCTCTCTCTCTCTCTCTCTTATATATATATATACCTTTCTTGATATGAACCAAAGCAAACTAAGAGTAGCATTTCTCATGAACGCGTGTTTATATTTGCCAATGATTTTGACACATATATACGTTCATAATAGCATTAAAGATGCTTGCTTGAATAGGAATTAATGAGAACACACGCGACAGCAAAGCGGGGGTGGGGCCTTCATTGTCAGTCGGGACAGACCATTACGTGCGGTTGGGAGGACGGAGCACCTCCGTCACGTCAACCAGTAACGCTGACATTTCGGACTCGCACTGAACGCGACATGAGTTGCGAGGAAAATCCCACAAATGACACTCCGAAGTCGTGCCAAAGCGCGACCGATTGGGCCAGCGAGGCTCCCTTTTACTTCGGAGACGGACTGGAGCTGAATCGCTTCGACGGTTTACCTTTGTCGTCGCGGTACTACAAACTGCTGGCCGAGAGGAGAACGCTGCCCGTGTGGACGCTGCGGCGACGTTTCGACGACGCGCTCGCTCGCGCGCAACTGCTGGTCGTGTGCGCGCACGCTGACGCAGGTGGGAGCACGCAGGTGAGTGGACACATTATTAGGTACACCCACAACACCAGCCCCCAAAAAATGAGAGCTGTCACTTGTTCCTTTAACAGTGAATTATAACTTCAGTCCCAACAGAATTGTTTGTTTAAAATATCCTAACCAGATGCAAATGTTGCCATTCAGTTTTTTTTATTTTCTTTCATCCTACAGGTCCCTCAGTGGTGCGCAGAGTTGTGCCTGTCTGCCCGCTACCGCTTTGGCACGGTGGCGTGCACGCAGGCTTGCGGGCAACGGGCCGTGCACTTGGCCTTGCGCGTGGCAGACGAAATGGACGTGAATGTCGGCCATGAGGTGGGCTACAGCGTTGGCCGGGAGACGTGCTGCTGCTCCGACACTGTTCTCAGGTCAGTTATTCAGCCCTTTGGATACACACCGAGTGTAGTAGAAACCCGGTCGAACCTTTGAGGGCACATGTACGTTCTCAGGTACTGCACCGATGACATCTTGCTCAGAGAGATGATGTCCGACCCTTTTCTGGAGCACTACGGCGTGATCGTCATTGACCAGGTCCACCAGAGGACGGTGAGCACCGACCTCCTGCTGGGACTCTTAAAGGACGTCCTTGTGCACAGGCCTGAACTCCGGGTGGTGGTCCTCGCCGCACCGCCCCTGACAGAGAGCCTTCGGAATCACTTCCGCAGAGCCCCGATCCTCAACTTGGAGTCACCTTCGTCGAGTCTCCCCGAGGTGGTGCACAGCGGGGGAGAAAAAGACTACTTCTATTCCGCTTTGAGGCTAGTTCTGGAGATCCACCGCGCCAAGGAGGACGGCGATGTCGTCGTCTTTTTGGCATCGGAGGAGGTCCGTTTGGCGCAAGTATGGCACGGCTATCTCTGGACAGTGTGAGATCTGCCTCCTTCCGCAGGAGGTGCGGTGCGCCCGCAGCATCCTGCAGAAAGAAGGAACCAGACTAGGAGCGCACCTGGGCCAAATGCTGCCCGTGGTCCTGGTTCCTGGCCGGGGTGTTCTTGAGCCGCCGCCAGATGAGGGAGGAACGTGTCGAAATATCAGGAGAGTTTTCCTTGCCACCCGTCACGCAGAGGATGCGTGGTGTGCCGTGGAGTCTGTCAACTTTGTCGTTGACTGCGGAGTCCAGAAGAAAATGGTAATCTCTGATTCCCTCCATCAAAGTTGATTCTGTAGCAGAAATGAGTTACTCCCCGCGGCCCAGAATGCAAATGCTAGCATCTCGTCCGACTCCTACAAATGGCTCCCTAAAAATGCAATGCTCGTTCGCTTTCCACTTCTCACGAGTCAGAGTTGATGTTCTTCACTTTGCCAGGTGTACAATCCCAGAATAAGAGCCAATTCCGAGGTGCTCCAGCCCATCAGTCGTTGCCAGGCAGAACTACGCAGAAAGATGTGCGGACCAGCAGGTACGGTGAACGTGGGCGTATTCGCAGTTTGCCACTTCTTGTCCTGGTTTCAAACAATTTTTTTTCCATTGCAGGTAAATGTTTCTGTTTATACGCGACGGACAGCCAACTTCCTGCAGGGAGATCCCCTCAGATCCTGGAGTTCAACATCACGGCCACCGTTCTCTTCCTGAAGAGGATGGAAATCGGAGGTTTGGGCCACTGCGAGTTCATCGACCGACCCGGTGAGCTTGGCGGGAAAACCCTTGATAATTGTCTGGAAGAAAAAAAAATTGGAGAGAGGTGCTTTCGTTCCCACGGAGGGGGCCTTTTTGTTCTCAGTTGAACTCGGTCTGTTTGGGCCTGTTGAGGCGTAACTGACCCAAGCCGGCATGAGCCAGGCTGCCCGGCATTGTTTTGACAGTCGGGTGAAAAGGGGGACAACTCGTTAGTGACTACACAGACGTTCTTGTCTCGTTAGGAAACAACGTTGAGGTGCTCACGCTCCTCGATTGGGCGGTGACCCCATTTGGCTCTCCGGTGGCTGATCTTCGTGTCAATCATTATGCATACACTTCCTCACACTGTGTGTTTCAACATGGAGCTTTTCATGGGTCGTGACTCTAGGGGGGGGCTTTTGTGCTCCCTCGCCACAGATCCCGAGAGTCTCATGCAGTCCCTGGAGGAATTGGACTACCTCGCCGCTCTGGACGATGACGGCAACCTGTCCGAGATCGGCATCGTCATGTCCGAAATCCCCCTGGAGCCTCAGCTGGCCAAAGCGCTGCTGGCCTCCTGCGAGTTCGACTGCGTCAGCGAGATGCTGAGCGTCGCGGCGATGCTTTCAGGTAGCCGCTGAATTGAGCTCGAAAAAAACATTTGACCTCAATTTGGTGCGCCCACTCGCTTCCTGGTTCCCCACCAATCACTCTTACCGACACCTCACCGACATGATGGAGCCTTCGGAGACCTCAGGAATTTAGAAAGACATCACGATAATACACAGTAACCCATAATAATCAATCACATTTTATTTTATAGCAGCACAACTCATGCAGCTCGTGTGTTTTTCTTCCTTTCAGCTCCAACCTGCTTCCTGGAGCCTCCTTCTGGATTGAGCCACGAGGCCTCGCATTGTCACAGGAAATTCCAGCACCAAGAAGGCGACCACTTCACTCTCATTAACGTCTTCAGCGCCTTCAAGAGAAGCCAGAAGGAGCCGTGTAAGACCCGGTGTCGATTTCTGAGTGTATTTTCTCCCAGTTTTGTTTTATTTCACGGTTTTCAGTTTTCCCTGCAGACGTCCGTGTTGAAAAATGGTGTCGGGACAATTTCCTGGACTATTCGGCCCTCCGGATGGCAGAGAGCATCAGGGCAGAGCTGACCGACACGCTGAACCGAATCGAGCTGCCCGTCTCTGAACCGGCGTTTGGCACGAGGAAAAACTCGGCCGACCTGAAGCGAGCCCTGCTCGCGGGCTTCTTCATGCAGGTGCGTTGCCCAAATCCCTCAATTCTCCGCAAACGTTTATTTTCGACTCCCCCTCCCTTCACCGTGGCCTTGAAGGTGGCTCGGGACGTGGACGGCTCAGGCAATTACCTGATCCTGGCGCACAAGCACGTGGCCCAGGTGCACCCGCGATCCGTCTACGGGCCGCGCTTCGACCAGACGGGGGTGCCCGAGTGGGTGCTGTTCCACGAATACACGCTGGCGGAAAACAACTGCATGAGGATCGTCACGGCAATTTCACCGCAAGTGTGAGACTTTGCGATTCATCGGCATCATCAAATCATCTGACTTTGTCAAACGCTTAGTTTTTTTCGTTTGGTCTCCCTGTCGCAGATTCACTCAAACGGCGCCTCTCTACTACTTTTATAACCTGCCCCACAGCGAGAGCAAAGAGATCCTGCAGCACATGCTGGACCCGCACGCCACCGACGCCACTCGTGAAGACGACGGACACAAAGCCAGCGGCGATGCTGTCGAGAACGAGAGTGGCGGCAACGTGCAGTCGACCGATCGCTGTGCCATTCAATGACACTTATTATGAAATGACACGATTTCACAAATGGGTACAACAGAGTGGTCGGAAAAACAAAAATCTTTGTCAAACAGGACTTTGGAGAGCATGATATAAGAAATTTAATTGCAGACTAATCAGTCCAGTTTATTTTGTCTTCATCATCACCAGACTTTTATAGTTTTATAAACACGGAGTAGAAAATTGAATTGAATCTAGTACATTTTCTGAAATCCTCTAAAAAGCCCCAAAACCATGATGGTAAAAGTATAATCAACAATTTCCGAGTCCTTCCAAAGGTTTCCTCCCCCATCCTGCTGCACATTTGCATCACCATATTAAATCTTTGCAATAACAATAATGACTGTTCGTTTTGTTTTTTTTCCCGGGATGTGGTGAATTTCCCCCCTGCCGTTTATTCTGTGATGCAACCAGTCGTCACACGGTCAGATATTCTTTAAGTTTGTCCATGATGGCGGGGATCCGGTCCACCGGGATCAACATGACCGTGCGGAACGGCTTCATGGGAACGTCGTCGAAGGACCAGCGGCCGCTCAGGCACGAGTCTGCGTCGTCCTGCACCGAGAAGTGGAACGTGGAGACGGCATGCTGCGAGAAGAAATTGGAAAATGTACATCAGGTTTGACCTCGGCAAAGGTTTGTAACTAGACCGATAGCATAATTGCCTGTCATAATTTTAACTGTCACCAAGTGTACCTTCTTAATCATCCAAATCAAAGTAATTTTTCCAAGGTGGAATCAAGGTAAATGGATCAAAGGACAGCTCACAAGCAGGAAAAAAAATAGCTAGTCGAGAGCACTTGCAAGTCAAGCCAAGCCATGTTTTCAGCACCTCATAGAAAAACTCCTCCTCAGCATTGATGAACGTGTATTCGTCCTTGGGGGCGGGAACGCCCTTGCCGGCCTCCTTGCAGGTCTTGCTGATCATCAGGCAGTAGTGGTACTTCCCGCTGGGCTTGTTGGTGCGCTCCGCTTCAGAGATTTCCTCCCTGTCAAAATAAAGGCAATTGGAACACTTGATTTGGATCGTTTTTATAGGTCTTTATCCCAAAATTGAGACTCATTTCAAGATCGCGCCCCCACCCCATCCCCATACACATTATGCAAGTGCAGCAACTCACTGTAGCTGCTTATGCAGCGGCAGGGCGATCTGCGGCGGCACATTGACAAAGCGCTCGCTCAGCAGGAGGCCCACGGGCTTGGCGGTGTCGCCGAGCATCTGCTCCAGCTGTTCGGCGGCGACGCGGCCTGAGCACTTCTCGCACTGGTCCAGGATCAGCTCTTTCACTTGCTCCACGCACTGCACGCCCTGCGCACGATAACGGCACACGTCAGAGAAGCCTGACGACACTGTTGGGAGCGGACGACGGAGAATCTTGCCTTTTGTTCTGTGAGGTTCAGCATGGTGATGAAGCCAAACACTTCATCTGGGTCGTCATCGTCACTGTCTTCGGGCACCTCTGCTTGCTTGGAAATAAAAATAATCAACAAAACATTTTAGACAACTATTTTAACAATTTCAAATGCTTTTAAACTAAAACTAGAATTAATTTGACAATCATTTATCTTCAAATCGTAAGAAAACCCGAAGTATTTATCAACTACAAACGATTTTTTTTAGACAGTCTCAAAGTGGACCTACTTTGATGACACTTCCCACGTGGTTCTGCTGGATAATGATGTCGGTCATCTCTGACGTGTTGACGTGAGCCTTCAGAAACAGCTTGGAGCGCAGCAAACCACCACATTAAGACACTTTGTTTTGTTTTCTTTATTTTGTTTGAATGCAACCAACCTGCTGTAAGAGCTTCTTGATGCCATTGAAGTCGTTGTGCGTAACGGCGTGCCCTTCGAAGTCCACCGTCACCTCCTGAATAGCAAAGAATTCTGATTATTTTAATGCACTTACAAGTTGCACAAACTGGTCAAATATGAGGGTACTACAAGGCTAGTCACACACTGTTATCATACAACCGTGTTAGCGTTAGCAACGTAGCATTCATTCAGCCAACCCTAAAATGTCATCCCCACCTCGTTAATCTCCTCTTCGGACGCTTCGCTGTCCTCACTGGAGGAATCGCCATCTCCCCCCAGACTGTTGTCCGAGCTTTCATCGCTTTCCCGGGGATTCTTCCCTAGACCCACTGCCCTCTTCTTAGCCGAAGAGGCCATGCTGCAAACATGCGCCGAGCGTGTGGGTCGATCCACCAGGGGTGGGCGTGGCGGAGAACCCCAATGGCTCGCTGTCAAATGTAATAAACCAGTCGTCAGTGATATGCAGTCGTGCATCAACAGTCACTTGAGGGAATATTTTGTACCGTGTCCCCCTATTTAAAAATGACTTAAACATTATTCAAAATTTAATAAACCTGCTCCGTTAAATACTTTTCACACTAAAACTTTCGCGAAAATTTGGAGGAAACTTGTTTTCTCAGACGCCATTTTGGCTCAAAATGTGTTTCGGCCCTACTGACTTGCGGTAGCTCGTTCGGGGTCAATGGCGACTTGGGATAAACCAATCGCGCAGGGGTGACAGTTATTCAAAATGCGCTTCATCCACAATTTGAAGTCACACATTTGTTTTTGACTCTTAGAGAATTCGATTCATACTTTTTTAAAAGTACCCATTAGCTGCAACGCGCAAGTCATGCCTGGGAGAAATACGTTAGTCTACATTAAATTAATACGACTCCCCTGTACAATTAGTGGTCTCTTGGCGCTCAGCTGTATAATCAGGCTAGCAACTTTTGTTGGGTTTTAAAGAATAATGTTATCCTTGCGACCGTGGTGTAACGCAGACGCCATGGTACGTTACGGTTAATGTAAGTAGGTGGTTTCACCTCGTTGAATTTTGTGGCGTTATTGAATTAATTGTGAGTGGTTAGTATCACCCAAAATCATACATCCAAGCTAGGTTGTTATCAGCAACCTGACAGTTGGGTGTAGTTTGGGTTTGTGTGCATTCACGCCCTCAGTTCTCACTTCACTGAATTCTTTATGACAGCTCCATTCAGTTTCCCACAAATATCCAGTATATCCTCAATAATTTATGATATATAATCTCTACAGTCTTTCTCAAGATGAACGTGCTGCTTCTGAAAGAGCCAAATGATGGAGACCAAGGGTCTGATCCTTACAACCAGGTAGAGGCACGAAAACAATATCAATACAAACCTTCATTATTTTGTCATATTTTAATGCTTGTCTATTTTTATAATACCACAGGAAATGACGAACGTTGGCCTGCGAGCAACCCTTCTACCTGTGCTATCGTTTAAGTTTGTTTCACTAAACACCCTATCAGAAAAGGTGAGCAGCCATTTTGTTTGCTCAATTTAGTCTCTTTTGAATGTCATCTTACATTAAAGACAATTCCTATCTTCCCCAAAGGTTTTCCAAACGGAAAAATATGGTGGCCTTATATTTACAAGCCCAAGAGCAGTGGAAGCAGTGAAGATGTGCCTTGGGGACAGAAGAGAAGGTGAAACCAGATGGAGAACTTAATATGGACAACCCACCCCTGTTTCGAATGTGAAAAACAATGCAACAACTGTCACACAAGTGGAACAAAACTACGCTTTTGTGTCTTTTTCCACAGAATGGGAGCGCATAGCGAAAGACAAATGGAATGCAAAGTCCGTTTATGTGGTGGGGAAAGCGACGGCTGCCTTAGGTAAAGTCACCTGCCACCGACATGAACACGCGAGGTGCCGTTAGCACAGGTGACAACTTGTTGCGATGCCCTCTTTTTGTTTCTGAGCAGGTGAGGCGCCTTCCTGAAGTGTGTCCCACCTTCTTTTGTTGTTCTTTTACGACCTATAGACCTTTTCCTAATGTTTGTCAACAAGGCACCTGGTAGTTCTAAGTGGCAGGAAGAAGTGATTCACTGTTGCTGACTTAAATAGAAAATGATGGAAAAAAATTTTTTTTTTTTTTGTTTTTTTTCTTTGTCTTCCCTGCAGTACGCCGCCTTGGCTTGAACCCACTCGGTGAGGACACGGGGACGGCGGAAGTCCTGTCGCGTGCCATCATTGAACGTACGGTGGCGTGCTTTCAGAAGAACGGCTGGGTTATCTATTGATTAATTCAAGTTACTTGATCTGAATAAGACATTTATACGAAGGATTGTGATTCGTCAAGTTACCTTAATTACAAGTACTGCAAATTGGCACGCTTCCTTCTCTATGTAGGAGAGGACACCGGTATCCTCCCTCTTTTCTTCCCTTGTGGCTCCATCAAAAGAGAAGTTCTGCCTGTGGCTTTAAGGGAGAATGGTAAAATGTCCTTTTTATGAAATAGATATATATTTAAAGCAGATGGTAAAAAAGGATGTATCAATAGAAAATAAATAGTCACTGAACTCCAGTGGAACCTGTGATGATCACTACCTGATTCGTCCACTAGGGGTTCCCCTCGAGACGTTGACTGTCTATCAAACAGCCGTGCATCCTGACGTGGTGAAGAATCTTACAGACTATTTTGCTGCACAGGTCAAACTTAACTCTTGCTATGTTGTGCAATATATCAAGGCACAGTGGTTGGGAATCCCTGCTTGTCACCCTTAGGGCCCCCCAGCTAGTGTGGCCTTCTTCAGCCCATCGGGAGTCAACTTCTGTCTGCAGGCCTTGCGCGGGCTGGCCGGTGAGCAGCTTGCGCGAATAAAGGTAAATCTGGATGTACGACAAACATGGATAATGTAATCTCCCCGCAAAAAGACAAATGACAAATCTTGTCTGCAGTTGGCCGCCATCGGGCCCACCACGCGGGACGCCATGCTGGCGGAGGGTCTGAGCGTCAGCTGCACCGCCAAGAAGCCCACGCCGCAGCACCTGGCGGAGGCCATAAGCAAAGCGCTAAAATGACCATCTGAACTTTATCGGTCAAGTGTGTTTACCGGACACTATTAGGTACACCTAACCGTTATCAATTGGTTGAGGAGGACTATGTTCAGGTATGGACAAAAAGGCAGATGCAGTTCATGTCGCCATGAAACAAAAATGGCCGACCACCTATGCGCTTCACAGCATAGGTTCTAAATTGATTTTTGTGCATCCTGTCATGTTGAATGCGTGTGTGGGATTCCGTCAACTGGACACAATTGTGACGGCTGCTAATATTTAGGAACTAGTGTTCCCGTACATTTTTGTAATTTGCTACTATTGGATTCACCTATTTACAGATCTTTTTTTTTTTGTTTGTTTGCTGTCATATGTTGTACCTCTAAAAGTGTCTATTATTTGCTCGGATACCAATTTTCGCAAGATTTGGTGAGTATAGTGTGTTCACTAGCCCAAAGGTAATTTGTTTCCAAAATACAAATTTTTGTGTTGTCAATTTGACGTATTTTATGTAAATTGGTCACACCGAAAAAGGAAAAAGGTTCCCCACCCTGCAAGTGTACCTAATAAAGTGTCCTGTGAATGTCCATTTGAAATTATTCTCGCTAGTTTTGTCTGTCAATTGTATTAATTTGCACTGGATCCCAAACCCATGACATCTAAGTGGACATGATATTCTATTCGACTGTATATGGCGAACCTTTTTTTTTTTGTTGTTGTTGTCTGTGTGGTCTTCTTAATTCATTTTGCTTCACTCTTCAAAGTGGGTGTTCTTCAAAGTCCATTGGAAACCAGCGGAGCGTTATACAGTACGGCACATCCGCACAATTTGTCGCGAACAAGTTGAATTGTGTTTGCTTTTCACACAACGCTGTGGGACGCCCTCCCCATCCAGGTGAGCGCACCTGTGCCGGTTGGTCCTATAAAGCCACACAGCCAACATTTTTTTTTTCCTCCAGCAGACAAACGGACCTGAAACGCCACCACGATGCTGACTTCCATCCAGCTGATCACTTCTTTGCTTCTTTGGACCAGCACCGGCGAGAAGCTTTTCCACCATCGCGATCACTCGGATTTGCAGATGTTTGGGTGAGCGCACCTGTGCCGGTTGGTCCTATAAAACCACACAGCCAACAGTTTTTTTTTCTCCAGCAGACAAACAGACCTGAAACGCCATCACGATGCTGACTTCCATCCAGCTGATCACTTCTTTGCTTCTTTGGACCAGCACCGGCGAGAAGCTTTTCCACCATCGCGATCACTCGGATTTGCAGATGTTCAACGCCCAGCAAGCTCAGACCATAACGGACGAATACACAGCAGAGGTAAATGTCTATTAAATCATGAAAAAACAAACGTAGGAGTGGAGTGGACCCCCATAACAATGATTCATCCGTGTCTTGATCAGCTCTTCCTGTCGAGATACGGCTTCATGAAGCCAGTGAGGTGGGAGGAGACGCGGGACAGGTATGAGGATCTCGACGACAATAATGATTTCCTTGACGACCTCCAAGCGAGCATCCAGGAGGGGACCTCGGTGCCTCATTTCAGGGATCGCCCTCCTCCAGAAGGAGAAAACCAAGCGTTGACTGCAGCACTTAAAGACTTCCAGAGGCTGTCTGGCCTTCCAGTGACTGGCGCTTTTGACGACGCCACCAGAGAGGCCATGAACAAGCCAAGGTGTGGTGTCCCCGACAAGGAAATGGAGCTGGAACCGGAGGACCCTATGGAAGTGTCCAGTACTGGACCTGAACTTGAAGAGAGTCTGGCCTTGGATGTTGAAAACAGCACCACTTTAGACACTTTCAATGAGACTGACAGCAACTACACAACAAGCGACACACCCCCTCGTGTCGCTAATGACTCTGAAACAGACCCGGTGAACATTAACGGCACGGTAAGTGCTCTCTCTGACACCAACGCCACCAATTTCCGCGCCGATTTCACGACAAGCTCCTCCCGGGATTACCACTTGGCGAAAATGCAGTCAGGCCCAGCGGTGACACGCAGGAAACGCCACCTGGCCGCCCTGGTGACCAAGCGCAGGCGGCACAGGAGGGACCTGGGCGAGGCGGGCCACGTGGCCTTCAGCAAGAACGTCCTGAGGTGGCGGCTGATGGGCGAAGGCTACAGTAATCAGCTGTCCATTGAGGAGCAGCGCTACATCTTCAGGCTGGCCTTCCGCATGTGGAGCGAGGTGTCACCGCTCCAGTTCATGGAGGACAACGGGTCACCGCTGGAGGACATCGACATCAGGCTGGGCTTTGGCACAGGTGGGGAAAAACGCCTTGTTCAAACTCAAACTGGGTGCCACTTTTGCCACTGAGCTTTTTTTGTTGTTTATTTTTAGTTTTATTTTGGCGGTTAACAATTTTCTGATAGAAAACTATTCTACAAAGGAAAACTAGAGATAGGAAGATCCCGTTTGGGTTTCCAGATTGTCAGACTTTTCATCTCTTTGGCATTTTGAGCCATTTGACTGCAGAACAATTTTTGCGTTCCACACACTACAGAACATCATGTGATTAAATTGTGTGGCACCTAGGAAGACATCTTGGTTGCAATCAGAGGTTTGATGGCAGCGGTCAAGAGTTTGCTCACGCCTGGTTTCTGGGCGACATCCACTTCGATGACGACGAACATTTTACAGCGCCTAACACCGGCAGTGGAATTAGCCTCCTTAAGGTGAGTGTCAAGGGAACGCCTGGATCACGATCTTTGCAGCTCTTACATCCTGCCCGGACATTTTTTTTTTTTTTTTTTTTTTTAGGTGGCAGTTCACGAGATTGGACACGTTTTAGGGCTACCCCACATCTACAGACCCGGATCCATCATGCAGCCCAGCTACCTGCCCCAGGAGGCCGCTTTTGAAATGGGCTGGATGGACAGGAAAGCCATACAGAACCTCTACGGTGAGTATCGCCCGCCGTCCAGGTTTCGAATGGACACGGGAAGTCCTCAATTCAACCCACGTTTGGGTCTTGCCCACAGGCGCCTGCAAGGGCCGCTTCAGCACCGTGTTCGACTGGATCCGACGGGAGAGGAGCCCCTACGGGCAGGTGGTGGTCCGTTTCAACACCTACTTTATGAGGGAGGGCTGGTACTGGCTGTATGAGAACCGCAACAACCGGACGCGCTATGGCGACCCGGTGCCGCTGCGGATCGGCTGGCGGGGGCTCCCCGCGGATGGAGTGGACGCCTATGTGCACGTTTGGTCTCTGAAGCGAGACGATGTCTACTTCTTCAAAGGTAGAATTCCACTTTCTCATCCAATACTTTTAACCTCCATTAGAGACTGTCGAAATCTTCCAATATTTAAGCTAAGTGGTCATGTTCAAGGAAACCTGGGTACAATTCCCAATGTGTGATGCTTTATCAGTCCTGGACCACTTGTTGTGACAGGTACTCAGTTCTGGAAGTACGACAGCGACAATGACAAGGTCTTCGGACAGGACCCGGAGGGCCACCGCTATCCCAGGAAGATCTCCGAGGGTTTCCCGGGAATCTCCGGTCCCATTGATACGGCCGTGTACGACCGAAGGGACTCATGCATTTACTTCTTCAAAAACACCCTTGTAAGGATGTCATCCCGGCAGCAGATTTAAACATGGAATCGCCGTAAACTTAAGTTATGTCTTTTGACAGGTGTACGCCTTTAGCGTGGAGTCCAACGGTGTGGCGCCGGGTTTTCCGAAAGCCATCCAAAAGGCGTTCCCGCCGGTGTCTGGCGGAGACCACCCGGGCGGTAACATCGACGTTGCCTATTTCTCGTACGCACACAACGCCGTCTTCCTCTTCAAGGGCCGGCGCTTCTGGCAGGTGGTGAGCGGCCGCGACCGCCGCCGACGCCCCTTCCTGCCGCGGAACGGCCTGCTGCCGCACAAGGAAGTGGATCGGCACTGGTTCGACATCTGCGACGTCCACCCGACCGCACTCACGCTAACTAGATGAAGAGGTACTTGGAAGTCAATCCATTGATAACACAGTGTATCCTAAAGTATTCACAGCGCTTGTTTTGTTTTTTTTTTCCTCATTTCGTGACAGCCTTATTCCCAAAAATGACCTCCATTTAAATTTTGACAAAAACAACTATTTTGTTGGCTACAACAGAGTCAAGTCTTTTGAGCATGGAAAAAAAAATCTCATAACCCCTTTGCGACTCGAACCGGTGACTTCTTTGCCACTATCGATCAAAATAGTGTCCTTTAAATTAAATGTGACTGAAAAAAGGAGCCGTTGCTTTTCTCTGTGCCGTTTCCATTCCAACCTCATCATGCCAGTGCGGCGCAACACAAACAAGACATTGATTGGGGAATCGATACGTACCCGGAACACTTATTAATTCAGATGGTTTTGAAGGGGGCTGGGGGGTTGGCGGAGCGGTGCGAGACCCCCGGTGGGAGTCGGATCACAAGCCTAACGCTGCGGTCGAAATGAGGTATCCGCCAATGACTGCGATGAGAAAGAAATTAAAAGAAAATGAGGCAAATTTCAGAGGAAGATAAACACCATGGCGGCTGGGATCTTCACTTTGTCACAGTCTAACTATACAGACTTAAAACAAAAAAAAAAAATCGAGCGGAAAGGTCACATCATGGATGCGTGATGGAATCTGGTAGAATATGGCCAGTCAGAGTCTACGTTTGCGTTTGTGCGTCGTCGTGGCAGCCATCGTGCCTGACTGGACTCGCACTCACATCAACCTCATTATCATGCAGAAGGTTCGACAAAGACTCATTTGTTTTGGGTCTGTTTATTTGCACGAGCGGAGCCTGCCGTAGCGGCGGCGGTGGGGAGGGACGGCGGGGATGAACGGCTGCCCCGGTAGCACGTGTGCGCACTCGTCTGTATGCGCGACCCTCTCATGCTTCCATACAGGTGCGGGGTTTGCGTTTCGAGGATGCACATGAAAGGCAAAGAGAGGTTGCTTCATCTCCACTTCAGTGGAAGGAGACGTTGTATTATTCATGAACAAAGGAAATGAGCGCAGGTACAAAACAAATCACCATTTTTACGGAATCCTTTGGAGGAGCGGAGGGTGGGGCGACATTTATTTCGTCTTTTTGGTGGCTCGTGATGAAATGCCGCACAAACTTGTGTTTGGGGTAACGCTGCTACGTTTACCTCAGAATTTTTTTGCCCCTCCTTGGAAATAAAAAATCCAAATTGTTTGTGAAGAGTTGAGGTCGGAATCAGTTGGACACAAATGTCAAGTAATCTGGTCCGAATTTCCACCACCTTTATTTTTGAGTAGAGTCCATTCCATGGGAATTCATGCCATGTGTGTATGTGTGTGCTGCCCCCAAGATTTTTTTTCCTTTTTCATGGCCTCACTACATCTGCCAGCAAAGCGTTGAATAATTAAAGAAATTATCAGGCCAGGAGATCCAAAAGCCCCTCAGAAATGTGTCATGCCCCTGAGCAAAGCCTTGTTGGGAAAAAAATAAAAGCCCTGCCTTGTTGGGCGCGTAGAGCTGCATACCCGAGCCACATCCCGCCCACGAGGAGCTTTCATGACGCCACCGACGGCAAGCGAGCATTGACTGGCGGAAAACAGCGGGACGCCATGCATGTCAAGTAAATTTAGCATTGCGTCCCCCAAATGCCGGGCTCCTCTATTTTTTTTTTCTCCCCCGCCGTCGGTTTTCAATGTCGCTAGATTCCGGGCGAGCCGTTTTGCACAAAGAATGTGACTGACGCAACATTAATCTCCCTCACAAAACAGACGCCTGGCACGAGCGCGGCCCAGCGAGGTGGCGACGTCGCTCCCGATTTCTCAGTGCTCCATCACCCGGGTGTTCCACTCCCCCTCGCTACTCCTCCAAAAAAAATCTTTCGATCAAACAAACAACAACAAAAAAAAATCCAAAAAGCAGGGGAAGATAAGGAAGTTAGAACTTTCAAGAGCGCTCCTTTAACAATAAGGCGTGACCTACATGCGAGAGAGCCAGAGTGCAAATCCCAGTCAGATTCCAGCCTGATTTTGCGGGATGCGTTTCATGGAAAGTCTCTGCAAAAGAGGAGCGTGGCGAAAGGAACTGAGGAAGTTTTTTTTTTTTTTTGGGGTGAAAAAAAAATCAATTTACATCATCGATTAATCGCCGTCGACTTGAGCATCATGACCTTAGCATTGACTTCAAAGAGTCTGAAGTCATTCCACCCCTACTGCCCATCAAGGTGAAAAGCGTGCATAATTCATTGCAGCGCTTTGACACAAGTGAGCGGGGGCACATATTGGCCGACAGTGACATGCGGAATACTCCTCGTCCGACACTCCTGATTTCTGACAACTCTTGGCGTCGACGCTTTACCCCGCCGCGGTGAATAAAACAAATAAAGTTCCAATTGCAGCAGCATTTCATCACGCATCACACCATGCAAATGTGTTACATGACACTTTCCATTTGCAGGGAGGGGAGGGGGGAGGAAACGCGGCCAAAGCTTGGAAGGATTTTTTTTCTTCATGGCAATTTGTTAGCGCCATATGCCCGTTTGCCCGAGGGAGGGTGGCGGGACACCAAGGGCGCATGGGCTATAAGCCTGGCGGACGGAAAACAACAAGGCAAACTATATCATCATACACTCGAGGCGGGCAACCTCCTGTTACGTTTTTATCGACGCGCTCACCGGACACTTGGATTAGTCTCGCGCAATCTACACTCGTCGACTGTGGCTCTCCTTTCTCATGTGGGAGGGCATTTGTCATCAGACCGTCCTTATCGGTCAGCGGCGATGCACTTTCCGAAGTCACGTGGGCACTCGTGCTTTTTATATCGTACATGAAATTCATGACTCACAGCTGCCACTCAAAATGACAACGTCAAAGCCCTCTTGTACGTGCAAGAGGTGAAGGGTCAACTTGCAGCAGGGGCGGGATACGCTGAGACCAATTAGTGAGTGCATCCGGCAAGGTGGTGGCGGGGGCGAGGGAATCCGTCGCCTTGATTAGCTACTTAGCAAGGGGCTAAAAGCTACATAACGCATGAGGCTGCACAATGCTTAATTACAGCGGCGTGATTGAGATTCCTCATTCCGGTGTTTGATGGTGGCTCCCCGAGGGGAGGACGTGTAATTACAGACTTGTTTTCATTTGGACCAGCGTGCATTGTGGAGCAGGGATTAAAAGTCAGTATTGTCAAAGGCACACCTTCTGTACTCTTTGATGGAGGGGGGGGGGGAACAAAAAAAAATACAATACTGACTTAACCAAATAAAATATAAAGAATTAAACTATTTTTTTGCTTCCAGTGGACACGTCGCACCGTAGCTACCTGGAAGATGCGCTATTCTTCACTGAGGATAAAGAAAACATGTCTGTAAGTACTGATCTATTATCCGTCTACATGTGTTGCTCCATGGCTTGTGTTCAAATATATGTTGCCTCAACGGTTATAACGCCGCGATACAGATGCTATTCATTAGCCTTCTATGGTGTTTTACATTGTTTGTTAGCATTGGCCTCAATGGACTTATCAAGCAAAGCTATATGGTTGTTTAAAATGACAAACTTTTGGGGCAAGGGGTCAATTACTCACAGATTTTTCCAGATGCTTCCACTTTCTATCAAAGAATAAGTGGTAATCGGTTTTCGAACAAAATAAAGGCTGAGCCTAATTATGCATGGAAGCAGGTGCTGGCCAATTGTTACAGCAGAAAAATCGCACATGTCGCCCCTGAGAACATACAAGATGACATTGTTAGGGTTGTAAATGCAGGCGTACCTAATATTGTGAGGCTAAATGAGGCTTACGTTGGGAGCAGTGACAGGTGAGAAATTTATTTAAAAAAAACAAAAAAAAACCGACCAGATTCATCTTTCATGCTTAGGCAGAGGAAACCTTCTGTTCCCATTCCTGACTGGAGACGCAGCACATGACGGACGCGCTAATTGACTTTTTTTTATTGCCCAATCTTTACCGCCGTAATGAAGTCGGGACTGTTATGCTTCTCTCATTACCTTTTCATTAAAGATATGACCAGGAAATGGGGGTTGCCATAGCAATGCTCCGCCACCACCACCAGTGGGTATAACAGCTTGCATTGTTTACTCTTCTCACAAAAATGACCAAAACGTCCTTTTTTTTTTTTTTTTTTGAGATGACGTGGCTTTTCTTTTTCCCTGGGAGGCGTTTGTATTGCCTTCGAGATGTTGTTAGACCGCAGCATCTCGTATGCTGATTCTGTCTGATAACAAGGTGGCCATTTTAAGCAGTGTGGTTCCCAGCATGGCTGCGGGGCAATTCCAGTTGCGTCCGATGAATCCTGCTTAGGAACAAACGACGAATAAGAACATAAACCCATATTTGAGTGAATCTTTACTCTGGTCTGGGGGGCTCTGCACTTGGTGTCATTCTAGATATCGCTCGACTATCATCATACACTTCTGTCGACTGTTTGATAGCAAGGCAGCCATTTTGAGCCCTAAAGTAACGAAATACGGTTCCCAGGTTGCTGAAGCGACTTGAGTCTATGATGTGATGCCCTTTTTATTGATCACCCTTCAAATGAGACCATCTCGTCTTTTAATGAGCCCTCCCTCATTTATTTATTCGTTTATTGCTTAATCGTCTCCGATGCCATAAAACCGACGTGTCTCGTTCACAGTTTGACGCCGACGTCCATCTGCGTGTGCCAGAAACACTCTGTTAACGCCGGGGAGGGGAAATTAAACGGAAAAGTTAGCAGATGCCGTCGTTTGGAGAAATGTCTCCAGCATAGAGAGAGAGACAGATAGACAGAGAGAGAGAGAGAGAGAGAGAGAGAGAGAGAGAAAGAGAGGGAAAGGTCAATATTTGCTCAGCGGTGAACATGTGTAAACGAGCCTCATGCTTTTTTTTTTTATCAACGTGCCACCACAACTGGAGCGGAGGCAAAAACAAAACAGATCCCACAAATAAATAAATAAATGAATCAATATAATAAGACGATTCTGATGAGAGGCTCATAAAAGTCGGCCGAGAAAACTTGACCCGCCATTTTGGCTCTGAAAGTGAACGCTGTTTGAAGGTCTCTTCATTTGCATCCTACCGCCACGCCCTTGTCGCAATTCATGTACAGCGCTTGGGGGGTGGGGGGTGGGGATTATTATTCATCCTTAAGATTACCAACGGAGCAAACCCATAATAGCATTTGTACTCTGACTCACATGAATAATGCCGATAAAAGATGCACGTCAAATTGAAGGCCAAATCACTTTCAGGCAGTGTACTATTAACGAGGCGACAAGGCTTTTTTTTTTCCGAATGGGAAATTCTATACACTCACCTGCCATATATCAATTTGATGTAGTGATGCCCCCTTTTTATTTTTTTTTTTGACATATATATTTTGTCGACATTAGCTTTAAATCCAAATGAAAAGTGCACTCAAACAACCAGAAGCCTGATCTCAAATGCTCTTCTCCGATGCTTGAAGTATTTCAATTTTGTCACGGTTCACGACACAAAAAAATGCAGCTACTTGCCGATATTCAATTGACAGCCGCGAGGGACGTTTGGGCCCTGGATGTGATTTCATTATGAGCCCCACTCGGACTGGCTTAGTATGTACCATCGGCACCTTTTAACCCCGGGTGGCACCGGTTAATTACTTCGGCTCATTACAAGCTGAGCTGCCGCAAAAAAAAAAAAAAAATGAGGAGGCGGAAGCGTGTGGGTGTCGGATTTGCTGCTTGCTTACGCCGTGGAATTATTGCAACGCCTGGAAGTGGAATGACCACACACAAAAAAAAAATGTTGATGCATAGACTTATTACCCTCTGCACTGGTTTTCGTGACACTCTTATTTGGCAAGATGGTGGATGATTTTCCAATGATCATCCATCCATCGTGCTGCAGTTTTCCTTTGAAATCGTCCCCTCATTGACCCGTGAGTTTCCGGTTGACGACGTTTGTCTGCTTATCACCTGGCTCGTGGTTACCTCGCCGTTAAACCGACTCGGCGTGACCTATGCGTGGGCGGGACAGAAACTCAAGACAAAGGTCATGCTCACTGTTTACATTGTGTACATCTGGCGTCCCACGCTGCCTCTCTCTCGATCTGACACTTGAACCTCCCCCAAGCTCCCACTGGTTGAAATGTACTGTATATGGAACAGCGGGGAGGGGTGGGGGGGCTTCTTTTAATAGCGTAACACGCATATCCGTTCCTTTCAGCCCCTTTTCCATGTGCAGCCGATACAATTTAATCCCATTTGCCAGGCAATTTAAATTCATCCAATTTCACAGATTAACACTTTGTGCCACCTCTCCCATCCTGACACGAGAGCCGCCCCTTCGCCTTCCTTCGTACGTCGGCTTACTTCCTTCGGCGTGCACGGTTTCCATGGCGACCGTAATGACATCATTAAACCGAGTAATTCGTCCCTCATGGGCTTGAGTGTCGTGGCATCACCAAGTTGCACCCTTGTGAGGATAAGCGGATCGGAAAATGGATGGATGGAAGTTGCGCTACTATTCTACATTTTTCACCTTCATTTGATTATGGTTGCAAGGATTTTTTTTTTCTTCATGTTGGCTCTTAAGAAAACACTGCACTTCCTCTTCCAGTTGCCCGATTGTATTCCGGTGAGGCCTTCACCCGGCGCCGCATCAGGCATGAAAAAGTTAAGGAATGTGGCCGGAATGCACAATAAGAGCATCCCCCAACCCCGCCATCCCCGTCCCTCATCCCGCTTTACTGTCTGTTTCCGCTGCGTAAAACACTTGAGTCGCTGCTTTTTTTTTTTTTTTTTTTTTTAAATATTATATATATATTTTTTTTTTGCAAAAGAAAGGATGCGTCAGCAGAATCTCCACTACAACGTGAGAAAGCCTGACAGCGCAGCAGTCTTGTGTCACTGTCAATTCCCCTCAGTGTGGAATGGAGAGAAATGAAATGAAAAAATAGTCTGTCAGAAAGATGTGGCAACATCCCACAGTTTGCAATAGGGAGGTCGATGAAGACTCGTCGGGTTTTTTTTTCAACTTCAGAGGGAGAATTAGAGCCATTAAATGACTGATCTGCTCTGGAATTGAAAGTTTTTTTTCAATTTGAGGGCGTGTCGCATGATGGCATTCCATCCTCGGGCCCACTTAAATGGGCTCGTCAGTGGCGACTTACAGTGAGAAAAAGGCCTCAGGACGCGAGACAGGCGGAAAATTGCTGGAGAGCGACCAACATGTTCGAAGTGAGAGTCAGGTGTCAAACTTTACACCGCCGCTATGCCTTTTCGGAGGTCAAACAAGCTCACAATAACTGTGATGGGAAGGGAAAGCGGTGAAAAAGTAACACTGATGGTTTTAATTTAGCCCCTCCCGCCTCCCTCGAGCGAGCCTGATGATGTCTGCTTGGCAGCGCAAAAAAAAGTTATTAATGGCGCAATAACAAGTCAGCAAGCCCGGGCTTGGCATAGAAGCGCACGCTGTAATGATTTTTCCACACACGTGCTGAAAGGCTGATGTCCATTTTTCAACCCGTCCTCCATTGAGTTTGTTTTTTATGTAGCGATGGAGCAAGTGGCTCAAATCTTATGGCATTTCAGTGTTTGTTTTTAGTCCTTTGTGACAGTTGCAGCAGTATCTGGCTTTGCTGGGTTCTGCGTAAACTGTATCAACACCGAATGGCAAAGCAAAAAATAAAATCGACAAATGACGGCTCGTAACTGCAAAAACTGTCAATGTGGGGGCACTCTTAAGTCAAGGGACCACTACATTCGGCTGAAAAGATGACAGTCGTTAATTTTTCATTTTTTTTTTCTGTGCGTTTTTTCGGTACCTCCACACCAGACTGAGTGTCCCAGCACGCCGCCGCCCCCAATCTCGCCATACTCCGACCCAATTCTGCTGTCTGTTGGCTCCTGCCCGGCAGCACTATCGCTCGAAGGAAAACTTCTCACAACATGGTGACCCTTAGACGGTGCCAGAGTGCTTTTTGTACAGACAAAACAGAACTGAAAATGTAAAAAAAAAAAACCCTCTCTTTGGCTGCTTTGCTATATCAAGCACCATCTTGATCATTATGGTTGTACTTGGAGAGCTAAATATTTTCTTAGTTCCTAGTTGGTCTCAGAAATTTGCAAACCACTGGCCGACAGGGTCGAACTGTCTCTGCGTTTGATCGTCGACTTCCAAACAGAAAACGTCCCACCTCTCTTACAGCGCCAATACAAGCTCATTCATCAAAGACAGAATCAATATGACTCCAGTCATAAATGTATTTACCGAAGCTGAGGATAATGGTGTGTTAGTGTGCCGCGTGGCTTTGAATTGAATGTTTGTTGGAAGTGTCATTGATTCTGGGCGGCGGAGGGGTTAACGCCGCATCCGTATCCCGCCGT